TTAAGGTTTAAACGACAAAACTTTTCCAACTAACGGGATCTTTTAAATTTAAAATTTTTCTCTCCTTGTACGGCATATTTATATCTCGCGATCTAAGCGTTTTTCAGATCAATGGCCGATAGACTGTGAACACTAGCCACGAGACAATGCTTTTTTTCGTTTCTTCCATTAGCTATTGGTTTAATCGATTGGACCAATCAAAACGTATAACATGGACACTCACATAAACAAATAGAGAACTTCATTTTATCCGTTAATTAAATGTTTTTACGGTAATCAGCTCGATCAACTATTTACATTCATACAACCAAATCACAAACACACGGTTTCGTAATCTTTCAGAGGGACTATGATGAAGGTTTAAAAATTTTTAGAGTATGAACTATGGCTACATGGTTTTATATAAACTACATCCATTTCTATTTCTAAAAGTTAAATCGGCTATTGTTTCCGCTCTGTATATAGGAAGATTTAAGTACACGTTCAAAGTCGGAGCCTACTGACCGAATGTTGTTGTTTGCTCCTTGTCAGTACAACAGAACACTCACATCGAAAGTGGGAAACAACGATAGAGAGAACGCCTTGTTTTGCTGATTCATTAGATTGGAACTCTTTTATTCGGAGAGTAGTGTGGAATAGGAAACATTGAGACAAGTGCTTTCGTTCTGTTCTGGAAGTTTTCAGACTTTTATCCGAGTATCTTGATTGGAAATTAGTTTTTCGTGATCTGACCATTATGGTTCCTTTGACATACCGAATATTCGTTTCGTTACTTACCTCCCTAGTAAACGAACATATCTAGGAATCTTCTGTAGACATCCATAATATGAAATACTGAAGATAGTACATATTATTTCAATCTTACACAGCATTTTTAATGATGCGTGAATTATGTGAGAGTAACGTGGATATCCATGATAAAAAATGGAAGTTCACACTGCAATCCACGATGCTTTCGAAAATTTCACGTTGTTTTTTTCTTCTTTTTTGAGTCATCAGCAGTTCAGACTATAGAAGAAAAGAAACAAAGTGATTCATCAGTCACGCATCTTATACACAAAAAGTTTTTTATTTTGTCTCTTTTACTTTGGCTCTAAAAGAGATAAGAGGTTCCTTTACAGATCCACAGAATTGACTGAAATTACAGATAATATGGAGAAAAACAATAGTTCGCTTTTTGAATCGAAAAATAAATGATCCACCTTGTCTACTCTTCGTTTCAAGGCAGCGTGGCTTGATCCACGCTCAAAAAAATTCTCATTAATAACAACAACTGATCTTGCATCGGTAACGAATTTTTTAGACGAAGTTATGCGCAGCTCTACTCTCTAGTGTTGCGCATCTCTACTCTCTAAAAAATATCGTATTGTCAAAAACTTAAAAAGAGTTTCCGAGTTTATCACTAAACGAACTACTTAAACGGTCTTTTCAAGAGTGTCCGAAGATTGGACCCTTTAAGCATTTCATTTAGTAACAAACTCGGAAATCCTTTTTAAGTTTCTGAGGATACGACTTTTTTTCTATAGTTATATTTGAACTCGAACCATACTCTCATTTCTATTCGAATTCGAATTAGATAACTCATGTAATGAACATAAAAAGAAGTACGATAATTTGCAAATTATTGATCAAACAAAGAATGTTTTCACAGATAAATATCTAAACTTACCAAAATATTATCTGTAAAAACATTCTTTGTTTGATCAATAATTTGCAAATTATCTTAGCTTTTTTAATGTAGTTATCTAATTCGAATACGAATAGAAATGAGAGTATGGAAGTCTGGTTCCAGTTCGAATATAACTCGAATTGGAACGAGACTTTACTGTAAAGTTAGGAGAAGAAAAAAGAAAAGTTCTGTTTGACCTACAATTATAATTTGAATTCCAGTTTTTGGTAAGACTGGACAACTTTTCTTTTTTTCTTATAGTCGTTCTCATTGCGTAGCTCAATAAGAACAACCTCTAAAAAGACAAAAACCTGCTGTGTACTTCATTGTATTCTATTCTCGAAGACATATACTGCGTAAAACAGAATGCAAATCTAGCTAAAAATCAATGAAAAGAGAAGCAAAAAACACGAGATTCGCAAAATGACGTCATATTTTTAAACAGTTGTTAGATTCGCAAAGCCATATTTTCGATGATAGATGTAAAAATAAAATAGGGTTTTCTGGAGAATCGAGAACGGTTTTCGAATGTTCGGAAATCCAATAGTTTCAGAGAAAATTTTCTAAAATCGAATAAGATTTTTTAACATACATCTAAAGAATTTACGAGCAAATTTTCAGAAATGAAAAAGGGTATTCTCGGATACTCTTTCGATTTCTGAATCGATTTCACATACACAAACTGTTTCATGAGATACTTTTTCGGTTCTCGAAAATACTATTTTGGTTTTCGGAGTTTGAAAATATCAAAAAACACATCAGGGTTTCCGAATAGACTTCGGAAACTTTCCTTTGGAGGTTTTCGAAAAAGTTTCTGAAGGAGTTTGGGTTTCCAAAAAAAAACGCTTTTATTTTAGAGTATACAATTGGTAACTTAACCTTGTTTTTTAAACTAAATGCTAAAAATCTCTCTAATTTGAAAATCATTTTTCGTTTTATTTTTAAGTACAAAATAATACTACGTATAAGCTTTCAACCCGACTAGCCGATCATCATCAGACACAAATGACAAAATTGGAAAATGAAGAGAGAGTAAGGAAACTAATCTTTCTCTTCTTTCGTTCTGTGTATACTGTTTTTGAAAAACACTGCAAGGGGGAAAAGTTCTATCATCGGATCACTAACATTGCAGTGTTTTTGTTTTTTATCGGATATAAATATTTTCCAGCATGAAGTCATTTTCTAAATGATAAAGGTCTCTGACAGTGTACACATGAGAATGTAAATAAACACTTTAATTTAACCAAACGATATGTTCGAATTATACTGAGTAAAGTACTATATCAAAATTACAACTTCCTAGCTTATTACCTTATTTTTTTGTCTAGCTTTAGATTTTTTTTTCATATTTACGTATGGACAATGTTGATCTGTCTGTGTGTAATTCGTTGAATTTAGAGGATGACAAAGAACAAGAAGTACAGAGTAATAAAAAACAGAAACATCGAAAGTCTTCATCTACGTTGCCAATAAAAAAACAGAAACAACGACGAAGAGGTTTAAGACCACGGAAATTGGCTCCGATTTATACTCTAGGACAAATTGAACAATTAGGTAACTGCTTAGGTTAAAATTGAAAGTATTACTAAAATTTATAGTGACAACATTCTTTTTCTTAGAAAATGGCATTCGTCGTAAATTCGATGGACGTCGTTGGCGTTATTTATGCAATAATCAGCACGATATTTGCTCAAATCGTGCTCAATACGGAACAATGTGTAAAAAACATTTTGATGAACATTTACAACTGACACAGAATCAGTCTTATGAACAAGAGCAAGTGTTAGTAGAAGATCATCCGCAACTTAAAACAAGAAAAAAGAGTATTTCTTACAAAAGGTAGAAAAATAAAGATATATAAAGCGTGACAAAACAGCATTTTGCTATTTCATTTAGAGAATCGTGCAAAAAGCGTAAATCAAAAGAATCTCCGACACGTAGTTCATCATCTCTTGTGTCTAATCAATGTTCAATTATTACGGCAGAAAATGAAAACAAAGAGGATGTAGTAGAACAATCATTATCAAAAGAAAATGATTATTTTAAGGACACTGACTCTACGAAAAGAAAAACGTATCAACCGATAGAAACACGACGAATAACTCGAAGTACTACATCTCAAAAGACATCTTCAACAACCAGTAATAACATATCATCAAGAGAAACACCATTATCGAGATCGAAAGCATCAATCGCTCAATCAAACTCACCTAGTCATCCTTCCGATATGGTAAGTCTATCAACTCAATTTAAAATTGTTTAATCAGTTTCTCTAATTGGAAAAGAGAAATCTTTCTACATCTGCGCTACTTGTTGCTATTTTTTAGATAAAAATTAGTCCTCTTCAATTTTCTGCGAGTGAAGCAAAATTATTTAATTCAGAAGATGAAATGGTACAGGCGATAGCTGAACAAGAACAAGTACAAATTGCCACAATGACACCAGTACAAAAAATGCTAGAAGAACCATATGAACAACAACTTGAACAAGAATCAGAAGAAGAGTATATGGTACCGCGGAGAGAAATTCATCAATCAAATGAAATATCGAGTAGTACATGGATTAAACGTGAAAATAACGTGACGGTACGTGACATGTCTTGTGTATTAGATCGCTTCTATTTCAGAAGATATCAGTTTTGAATCACAATGACTAGAAATCATCGTTTCTTATTGTTCGATTTGCATCTTACAGTTAACTGTAAATTGTTTCTTTTCTTTTTTTTCTAGTTCGATTCTGATAGATTAGAAAACGTTGTTATTCGTACAAACGAGAAAACGATTGATCAAAATGTTCAAACAGATATTCATATACCGCTATGTTGTACAACAGTTCAACATGATCATTTTATTACGTCGTATTGTTCTATTTACAATTATGAGCAACATGCACAACCAGTACTCACAATGAAACAAACCGTCAAAGAAGAAAAGGTATATGCGAAGAGATTTCAATTTTTAGAAAAACTGGTTATATTCATCGTTAGATAATTTAATAGAAAAGTTGAGAAGTTTTTGGACTGAAGACGAGGGTTTCCTTCTAAAATCGACATTATGGTAGTTTAGATCTGTTTATTCATCAATGATGAATATTTCCAAAAAGGAAACACGGTCTCCCATAACGTCTAACTTATCGCGACTTTAAACTCAACCACGGTTCACCGCATTTGTATTCGGAGAAAATGAGTATTGTTTTCGCATAAAAATTCGATGGACCGCGGTTGAGTTTAAAATCCCGATAACTAGAAGTTCCCGGTGATCGCGTTTTCTTTTTAGAAAATACCCATGGGCAAAATTATTTTATGGTTTGATTTTCTATACCCTTCGAATGCAGAAATTTCGACATCCAATTCCACAGATGGGCTTTCAGTATGAAATAGTACTCATGACTCTTGCACCATCAAAAAGTAGGGAAAACAGTAGAATTTATATGGAATAGTAAGAAAAGAGTGCCACAAAATGTTTTAACAGGATCCATCTTTAATACAATGATATTAGATAACTAAGCCTGTAGAGTGACTTTAACTTCGTTTTGTTATGCACTAGAAATATTTAAAAAGTAGAAAGTGTAAAATAAAATTCGACAAGTAGAACATTCTTAGTAAAAGTAGATCCTTTAAAATGAAATTCTGTATGTTTCAGGAAGATGGTGAAGATTTCCTTAATCGTCAAACAACAACAACAATAACAACGCCGACGTGTACTAACGGTGAAGAAGAGGAATGTATCACAATTATTGATTTTATTCGGAGTGAAGAGCGTAGGAAAGAAGAATTTCATCAAAGTTTAAAATTTATCGATGCTCATTTGAACAAATTAGAAACATTGAAATATTTTTAGACAAAAGTTGTATTACATGTTTGTTTAACTCATGTTGTTTCTAAATTACGAAGAATATTTGTTTATTTGCTAGTATAAAGAAATCACATCGTGCAGTGATACTACTAGATTTGTAACTTTTGTTTGAAAATGTCTAAAGAAGAAAAACGATTTCACTCTATGTAATATAAATACAATTTTAAAGAGTTTTTTTTCTGCTGTTTTTTTTTTCTCTTATATTGTACATAGTTTACATTAGTTTATTTTGTGATCACTGTTCTTTGACTTACACAAGTAGATCAGACAATTAATTAAACTAGTTTAAAATGGACAGTTAGCAAGAGGCATTCATGAGGATTGAAAATGATTTATAAAAGATAGTTTGCAATGATTTATTATTGTCATAGTGAAGAAATTGAATTAGGATATGATTGATCTGTTGTACGAAAGAATAAAATACAGAGATGAACGAACCGTCAGGAAAATGGTGAGATGAAGTGAACAATATGTTTTAAAAGAATACGAGCGACGAGACGAACGTTTGTAAAGCAAGGCGATGCTAAAGTAGTTTAGTTATCTGAAGTATATGTTGAAAATAATTGTTTTTATGTTGTGGCATATTATACTGTATATCAATAGAAGTATTTTTTATTTGTATGAATAGAACATTGTTTTGTGTGACTTGTTCCTTTACACTTAGATCATTGAAACATTTTCTACGTTGGCAAAAGTTTAGACTCGTATTCGGTTGTTTTGAAAGCTCTGTTGCCAAAGAATTAGATTTGTTCGTTCTCTTAAAACGCTTTCTCCATGCCTTATGACAAGGTTAGCCGCGTTCATATCCGAACTTTGGACTTGAACAGGAGATTTGGTTTTGAGCACTAAGAATGGAACCTTTGTATTTCTAGTCTTATTGTTCCGGTTGTTACCGTGAATAATCGAGGGTGAAATTCGTAAAACTAATTATCTAAGTAAACTAGATAAAAACTTTTGTGTTTTGGAATTACATCAGTACCTGTTGAGCGTAGTTTTGATCAGATGTGAAAGAGCAAGTTTTACAAAAAAATCGCCTATCTCAACTGATGTTAAAATGTAATAAGTTTGTTAATGTGACGTAATGTAAGTTTGTTTTAGTAAAATCGATGTGTTATACGGCAAGAAGCAAAAACGAAAATATGTGGTAATGATCAGAAATATGTGAAAAATTACCGGACTCGATTTACATTTCTAAGAACTCGGAGTCTGGAGCTTTTGAACTCGCCCAGCTCTGGCGTATGAATGATAAAAAATTATAGATCTTTGCACACTGTTCTAGGTTGATTTTTACACATGATAAATTTTATAAGATAACAATTGTAGTGACTAATGGTCGATCGTACAGAATAGTGACCCACCTATAGCAAATGGTTGATGTTACTGTGAACTGAGAGAGTATCTGACTCTCTTGCACTAGAATTTATTTGCGACTATTGATAATAAGTTGCATTCTTGTAAGGTGCCGCTGGTGCAAAAATCGAACAGAATTTTGATTCTGTCGAATTATACATGGTTCGATAGAGCTCGAAGCGCTGATTCCGAATATGTTAAGGAAGAAATAAAATTTGAACTTTTAAGATCGTATATTGGACTTCCTTAGGGTTTAAGTCTACTTATCTGTATTATCTACCAGGCCTCTTTTACTTTCTCTCCCTCATTTAGTCATTCATTTTCTTTTGCTTTCAACACCTTTTCGCTTCTTTACCTCACCTTATTTGGTATTTTCCCTAGCAAAAATGATTTTTTTACCAATATATGGTTTAACCTAGAATATCCAGTCATGAACAGTCAATGAAATGAATGATTAAACAGAAACGTGGGTGCGACTGCACGCACAGAAGAGGTAAAAGGGTATCAGATCTATACAGAGGAAATGTGTACTCATAGTTTAAATTCCTAATTTCAAGTCAAATGGACATCATGTACAGAGGAAGACGTTGAAAGATCACTACATTAAATTTAAAACAAGAACGTAGTTTTTTCATAGATACATATCTAAAGTGTCACCTATCGAACACTGACAACCATAAGTCTCTATCTACTGTCAGTAAAATATCCACGGCCGCTCTGCTGTAAGAGTGTTAATGCTTAATACTATAATTTGAGATTGTGATTGACGAAAACAAACGTAACTAGATTCTGAAATATCCAGAGTCGTATTGGGTAACTCTGGCCGCTGGCACAAAGTTTCTTAGCATTTTGCGTATTTCTAAGACGTTTTTCATCGGATAAGCATGCTGTTGAATGTGAAGATAGAAGTAACAGTTCTCTATCCACTGATGTAAAAGTCTCATAAAACTCCCTTTCCGCTTTCGACCAGTATTCAAAAGTACAGCAGTTTGAAGCTGTTCTTCTCTTCTACCTGTCATAGAAAGTTGAAATTATTAGCGCCTATTCTAATGAAGTTAATTAAAATACAATAAGACGTAGTTAGATTTCTGATTTTTCATTTTTCTCGATTGAGGTAATTCTGGCCTGTCAGCTATTTTTCGCGGGGTAATTCTGGTCGGTCGGTTCAAATACATGGAGTTTCTTGAAACTAACCTCGGGTACTTTTCTGAAGTAGATTTCTCACATACACTTCCGGTAAAAGGTATTCGTCATGTCATTACCTACAACATATGTGAAAATTGCATCTCAATAGCTCAAAATCAGTAGGCTCTATGATCTTAAATATTTTGATGTAACTTTACACAATGTGGTAATGAATTTTATTTTTGTTAATGGATACTGGCGTACAAATGTGATTAAGGTAAGTACCTAGCACCACGCAAAATATGATGTCTCTGGCGTACATATAATACAATTCCTATTTCAATGCAATTTTGATTTTAACAGGTGCATTTAGGTAGAAAACAGTGTAGAATTAGATGCACGTTATGTGAGATCTCTACTGGGATTTTCAATGGCTCTCCAGAAAACCACGGGAGAAATACGATTTTACAGGGTTTATATATCAGACGTGCGCTCTAATGGGCATAGGTAGTTCTGTTCCTGGCACAGGATACAAGAGATCAATCTTATTTGTTCATCTACTAAGGAAAACTGTTCATCTACTTTTTCGCGGTAAGTACTTGCGAAATATAGGCAAGCATCCGCAGTTTTTCCAAGTACTTCCGACGTTCGTCTCTACATGACTACAATTTCTAGTATTTCTGAGGCGTTAGCTGTTAAAACGGACCTAATCTTACAAACAAAATTTTATAAAACTAAAGCATGTGTTTCTTCCTATCCTAATATTGATCTTATTTTGCCTCCCGTCTCCATCATGTGAAGCCTGCTATTCCAATGAGGTACAGACAACTCACTAAGATAAAATTATTGCAATTTTTAGAGCCATAAGGAGAGAGATAAGAGGAATAGGATATATTGAAATTGATGTTCTATAATTTTATAGAGTTATTAAATATGGCGTACAGGAATGAATAAAATAAACCAATATGAAGGAACGGACAACAACACTGGGTATAGTATAGCGAGTATCGGGAGCTGAAGACTCACGTTTTTCACCAACCGAAAGAGACATAAAAATGTCAGATGTATGTTGGAAAATTTGATGATCAAACACATCTTTTTTCGGTGATCACAAACACATTTAATCTTTGAGATTGTACCTGTGATAATAATAATACATATAACACTTAAGTAAATAATCGTCACACCTTTTAGCTAATGAAGAACAGAACACAGCATGTATACGTCTTTTAATATCCCTCTCTGTACAGTTTAATCAATAATAAGTAAAGTCATAGTTTTGTCAACACCAAGCACAAATGGTGAAGTTAACGATGGTGAGCATGGACAGACGAAAAAATGAAGTTTTTATTCCTAGCGAATGTACTTGAGACCAAGTACTTACAACAGTACTTGATTAAGTAATGGAGTTTTTTGCAACTGAAGCAGGTTTTTATCAAGTAATTTAACAATTATAAGTACTAGATAAGTACTTCATCAAGTATTTGGCAGATAACCTGGTAAGTACTTGCGAAATATACGCAAGTATCCCAAGTTTTTCCAAGTACTTCCGAAGTTCGTCTCTACATGACTACAATTTCTAGTATTTCTGAAGCGTTAGCTATTCAAACGCACCTAATCTTACAAACAAAATTTTATAAAACTAAAGCATGTCCAATCCTAACCATTCACAGCTTTCTAACTGAGCTTGGTCTTCATGTATATGCGTGCTCGTAAATGTACCAGCTATTTATTATGAATGAGAGCTATATCTTAGATACGATTATAAATATTCGATTTAAAAAAAACTTTTCTACATAGAAAAATAAAAAATGTGACCTGCAGGATTCCTTGCCCCGTAATGTCATGTAACCGCAACAACCATCGATTATCGATGCAAAATAAAATATGGTTCAGTTGAATCTACGAACTAGGTAGACTTAAAAACAGTTGAAATTAGCGTCAAAAACTACGGATGAAGTTGAAATATTAAAGTGGATAAATGCGTGATTCAAAAAACAAGAGTCATTGTGAACATGGTCTCCATAAATCACCGAAACCCGACTGGGGTCCAAAGCCATATGTAAATTGATCTGGAATCGCCTTCATTACTTCCTTTGGATAGCCGGAGCGGATTCCTCTAGCGAAAGTGTCATAAGTCATTCTCCTTTCGCTTTTTCTTCCTTTGACATATTCCCACAGATGAGCCACAGCATTTGGTTTGTGCAGTTTAAATATGCCTTTTTGAGGATCGACGTATGTTGCCAAATCATGATATTCTGGATTATCTAACAATCGCCGAAGAAACTCGTGCTGCAGCGGGCGTCTTTTCAGTTTTGTCGTTCCATCTACCACTAACCAATAAGCAATGTCAGCTAATCGTGATAACATTCCCGTGGGAGTTGTTGGCAAGAGAGTGGAATCATTCATAGAAATTGAAAAGTTGGAACTGGAACCATTGAGTTTTTCTGATAATTTATTTGACACCAGAACAGTGGAAAGTGAGCTCATTTGATTTGTCAAGCTCTGCGCTTCCACTTGTTGCTGTTGATGAAGGATGTTGATTTGACCAGATGTAATACTGCTGGATGGACTGGCACTACAGTATTGTGCTGTTGCCACGTCCATTGGGAAGATGGCTTCCTCTTGATCATCCAGGAAAAGTTGTGCAAAATATGAATGTTCAAAACCACCTGAGTGAGTGTACCATGTTGTATTACTTTCAGGTTGAGGAATATCACCGGGCAAACAGAATTCGTCCTCATTTGAAAACGATTGCTGTTGACAATCCAAGTCCCAATCAAACTCGATAAGTGGCTGTTCTGATTCAGATTCGTCCAGCGAAAATTGACTCGAAAATGGTGATTGTGCAGCAAACATCTTCTCTTTAATAAATAAATCGCAGTAGAATGGTTTATCATTGCTTATATACGAGACTCAACTTCCTATAGGTGAAAATGCACGGTAAAGAGAGAGAGTGTCTCAAAGAAGGAAGTTGACTAGTAGACGAATCAGACTTGTTCTTCCTGAGAAAGAAGAATGTCACGCTTATCTACTTAAGCGTAAAAAATATGCGTTTAATTATTATCACAGGTACCTTTTTCCAAAAGACCTGTAATTAGATGCTCTGTTCTTTGTCAATAAGAGAACACTGTTATTCCCAGAAAGTAAAATGATCTCCACAATACCTTCGCTATACACAGAAGTAATTTCAAGAAATTTTTGATCTACGTGTGACAATTAATTGGTCATTTTGAAGTTCGAAAACTTGACATTCCTTCTCTGATGTCTTGACTATTTCGAAATTATTAGTGAAACACATTTTAAGTATGGCAATTAAATAGTATTCACATAACAAATCAACACATTTGAAAAATTATATTCAAACAGTTCAATTTAATCTAAAGTATTCATGCTCTATTACACGCTTCACAAGCCATTCTTTCTTCGCTCAGCACGTTTAGACTATCGCGGACAGTATTTAGTTTGAAAACATTGCATGGAATTGACTAAACTGAGCAAACTACGATAGTTTCAGTTTGTATTTTCATCCTCAACCAAGACGAAGATATCGGCCAATTTCCACCAATGATTAAAAAGATATATTCTTTCAATGATCATATTACAATTAATTAAACTACTTTGAAATGGACAGTTAGCCACATTCATGAGGATTGAAAACAATTTATAAAAGATAGTTGAAGTTTTTCTTTTATTTTAATGAACGCCGACGTGTACTAACGGTGAAGAAGAGGAATGTATCACAAATTTTAAGTTTCAACATATACTTCAGATAACTAAACTACTTTAGCATCGTCTTGCTTTATAAACGTTCGCCTCGTCGCTCGTATTCTTTTAAAACATATTGTTCACTTCATCTCACCATTTTCCTGACGGTTCGTTCATCTCTGTATTTTATTCTTTCGTACAACAGATCAATCATATTCTAATTCAATTTCTTCACTATGACAATATGAACTCAAAGACCTGAATATTTATGTGACATTAGCAGATTATTAGCACAACCATGGAAAAAGTTTCACTGCTTACTTCGCTGTTTTCACTAAGATACAAAAACTTTGGTGTTATCGTATTTCCTCCTTGCAGCAGACAAACGAATTCAGAAGTTTTGACACAAATATATTTAGGCTGTTTCCTAGAACAATATTTTCTATGACAGTTATAATATCTTGAAAATGGGAGATGGGCACGAGAAGTTGTTGAGCGTACGTGATCTTTCCAGCAAAATATTCCCGTTCAATTTTCTGCACTAATACCGTTTTGATTGTTTTATTGTGAAATGTAAAATTAGAATGTAAGATACAAATTTCTGTAAAGCACCAACATGGGGAAAAAATAGAAGTCTTTTCTCTGAAGATTCAAGGTTTCTATTCACAGCTGTTCAGGCAGAGGAAGTTCAATAAGCTTTTGTGTACTTCACAGTTATGAACAGGAAAGTTCTTTTTGATCATACAAAAGTTAATTTTTCAAAACGAGGTCAAAAGTCGCTAGAATTTGACCTTTTCCTCTCATGTATTTAAGAAAAAGAAACTATATTTAAGTTTTGGATTCAGTGAAGTAGTCATGTGTCTTTAGCATAAAAATGTTTAAGATCCAAGTGATAAATTGGCAGAATTACATGCGTTTTCTGAATGTTCCAAAACTGCCGAAGAAGAAGAAAGATTTATCCAAAAAGCTGAAAAATAAAACGTCTCCAGCTGTAAGAGGTGTTGACTTGACAAAACAAAAAAAAAAATCCTAGATTTTATTTATACATTTTATAATAATAATTTTCTAGTATAACACAGTGACGCTCTGAGCAACGTCTTTTGTTACCATCGCTTCATATTTAGGCCACTGGTCAACGCTACGGTAGTACAATAGTTCCGGTGTAATTGCAATGTGTAGTCCAACAGAATAGTACAAATAATACTTTATTACTGGAGTTTAAAGGCATTCCCCGTTTTGAGTTTAAAAACAATTGTTCTTTACTTATTACTAGTTTAAGCGAATACGATGACATGTAAGGAGATTTCACGGTCAATATAGCATCTTTCTCTCTTAAAAACAAGTATTCAATTTTATTGTTAATAATCAAGTTTAAATTTAAATACATATTTTAATTTCTCCAGTGGCTATTTTCTTTTTATATCTATAAAGTGTATCTGCGACATTACGTTTTTCTATATACAGGTAAAAAATTACGAATTGCTGTTATTGAATCACCACCATTTGTTATGTCAGAAGAAAAGACGATAACATCAAACAACGATACCACTGGTATTATCATTACTGATAAAATATTACTGAAAGGTTTTTTTATTGATTTGATACTTACTTTGAAAAAACAAATGAAGTTTTATGATGAAATACAATTTATACATCCAAATACTCAATATGATGATTTAATTGTTGGTCTTATCAATAATTCATATGATATTCTAGTATCGGATTTACCAATAAAGCAAAACGTCTCTAGCTCATTGATTTTTCAGTGTCAGTATTCGACAACAGTTTACGTATTGTTGTTCGACGATCAGAGTCAATATTTATAGAATTATTTTCATATTTAAAACCGTTTTCATTTAAACTATGGTTATCGGTATTAATTCTCATTCTTTATTCCAATGTATCAATTTTTTATTTTGAACGTACAACAACAGCAACAAATAACACTGACACTATAAGACAAGAACCAATACATCGTTCAATAGCTATATTCTTCTATCATTCAATATGTAGTGTTGTTGGTACAAATAGTGACGATAATTTTATTTTATCATCAATATCAAGTAAAATATTGACAATTAGTTTATGTATGATAGCTTTTATACTTGGTGCTACATATACAGCTAAATTATCAGCATTTTTAACAATAGAACGAACACAACAAATAACAAGTATTGATGATATTGAAAATGGTCGTATACCATATCATCGTATTGGCATTGTTCGTGGATCAGCAATTCATGAATATTACATAAATACTATATCAACATATTTCTATCCACTAAATTCATCAAATGAAATCTACAGCAATTTAATTGAGAAAAAAATTGATGCATTGTGGGACTATGCATTGTGGGACTATGCATCAATAGGATATCAAGTACAACAACGTTTTTGTTCAAAATTAATGGTTGTTGGTGTAGGATTTACTCATTCAACATTTGGTATCGCTTTTAACAACCATTGGAAATATAAATATGAATTAGATTATCAATTGCTTACATTAAAAGCAACAGGTATTTTAAAGTCACTTGAAGAATATTGGTTTCAATATCGACCACCATCAACAACAAATGCATATTGTAATTCTAAGCACAATGTTCATAATAACCAATCAAACGGTATAACCATTGAAATTATGAGTGGTCTGTTCTTAACGTTTTATCTTATTAGTCTATTAACCATACTCTTGCATTTATGCAATCAACGACATAAATTAATGCAAGCAGTCATAAATTTAAAAACAAGACTAAATAATAGTCGATGCTGTCGAAGAGCATTATCGTAACATTTATTTGAGCATTTGGTATAGAAAACATTTGTTGTTGTTGTTTGTTTTAAGCTATGTTTATTTAATAAGAAAAATAAAAAGAACAACAAAAGAAAAGAGCTGATTGATACATAGGAGATCATGGAAAATTCGCATTCGCGGCGAATTGAATTATTCTTTACTATTTCGGTATGTAACATGTCTTCATAGTGCCTATAGAGTTACAATGTTTATCTTTTCTCTCACCAGCTCAGATCACCATGTCAGGTGACGATCGCGACTCTCTCTTTTCATCGCAATCGATCGTTACCTGACGTAGATGGTGACCTAAACTCGTCAGAAAATAATAGAGAATTTCGCAGACATACCATATACATTAATATACTTTATTATCATTCATTGCATACCGAAATGAATTCCCAGCGAATGCGAATTCACTTTTTAGAAAATCAAATTCTCATCGAATGTGTATTTTCCAAGTTATGATACATATATGCGGCAAAGGTCATTAAAAAAGACAGTAGTTAGTATTAAAAGTAGTTAATATAGTAATGAAAACTAGAACATCCGTATAGTGTGGAGACATAACCCGATCGGGTGTACTTCCCAATCGGGATATATATCCCGTTCTGGATATCTTTTTTTAGAACAAAACTTTTTAATATCCCGAATGGGATATAGTTTGAAATTATATCCTGATCAGGCTATAATTCAATATCGCGATTGAGATATTAAAAAAATCTATATCCGGATAAGAATCTCAGAATATTTTTGTTGGTTAGTGTAATTTCTAACTTTCACATTAATATGTTTTTCATCAAATCTAATTAGTTTAAAAGGGGTATTGCCCTCTAGGTAACATGAGTATAAATGAGTTATAAGCAAGTTGTAATTCACTTACAAAAAATATAAGACAGTTTATCTGCACGAATCAGTAGTTAGAAAATTCCCCGTTAAACACAAAGCACGTATACTTATATATTGTCGACGCATGAGAAAAGAAATGTGTGTTTCAATATATGTATGCATCGAAAAGGCAGAAATAAAAAAGGACGGGTGGTGTGGGAAGCGATTAGATCAAGAGTATACCCTATTCGGAGCAATAAAACGTTTACCACTTATTTCTCGATCGGGTTATAAATTCGACTAAAATTTGATAAAAATGTTTTATTCGAAAGAATAGTTGGTGGATGCTAGATACACTTTTAATCATACAGAAAAGAATCCGATGTAGATTTGTGAGCTCTTTCTAATAGTGACGTCAATTTTTCCCCATAACGTCGTCATTTTTCTCTTACCCATGGGAAAATTTTATTGACTTTTCACGCGTGAGGGACCGTGAAATGTCAGCTTGGACTTTCACGAAATTTTGTAGGTAAAGACAGGAAGTTTCGCGACAGTTTGGTCGTGTTGTTGCAACATCACACGCGTGGCTACGCGTGAAAAATCTTAATACGTGTACACAGGTGAACAATCTTCACGCGTGATTACGTGTGAAAAAATCTTGACCATGCCGACCATCTATAGTCAACTGACTATACATGGTCATCATGGTCAAGGTATAATGCAGACTTCATCTATAACTTTTTCCACGTGTGACCACTAGTTTCTAAAATATCACATTTTATATATAGCACCGCAAAGTAAGGGAGCTTGCCGCTCAATCTTCACAACATTTCGCACCTGTAAAAGGTTTCTCACGTGGACGCACGTGAAACGTAAGAATTTTGTCGCTTGGGGTTAAGCGTGAATATTATTCACGAAATGGATTGCGTGAAAAACTGACGTGCGAATAAATGTGAGGATATTTTTCACAATAAAATTAGTGGGACACATTTTCACGCGTGTCCGTAAGTGATATTTTTTTACGGAAATTTTAACATAAGAAATTCACGTGTGGCCACTACACACTTCACGACTTTCACCTGGAATCACGTGCAAAAAATATGACGCGAAACGTTTTCGTGACCAGTTCACCCGTTGTCATTAGTGGAATATATTTTTCACGCGTGCTCACACACCATTTTACGATGTTCACGTACGACCACAATTCATTTCACGATATTCTCGCGTGTACACACCGCGGTACCTACTAAAATTTCCCCTTCGGTAATCGTTTTTACGACGAAAGTTTATGTTTTATATCCTGATCAGGATATAGGAGGTGCCCCCTTACTGCCAGATAATTCGATTCTGTCTTTACAGTGTTAACAGCCACATGTTAAACTCTTCGTAGACAGGAAACATCTACTCTACACAATCGATAAAAAGTGTCGAGAAACCGTGTGTCAACAGTGCACTGTTAACAAAAATCGTTTTGTTTTGCAAATATTAGTTTTATTCCTTATTTTTTACACACAATGCTCTGCTATCGGCATAGCTAAAACAATAAACAATAAATAAACGAATACTCGTTTATTTGTTTTATTTAAATTTTCTCATAGAGATTCTGATAATAAATCATTAAACATTTCTGACATTGATGGATGAGTATAAATAAAATCTCTTAGAAATATGTATGATTGATTTGTCAGCATAGCTAATCTTATAATGTTAATCACTTCACTTGAATATGAACAATATAAACTTGCTCCTATTATTAAATTTGTTTTACTATCAACAATAATTTTAACTAGACCATCTAATTCCTCTATTTGATGTGCACGTGGTATAGTTAATGTTAGTTTTTTAAATATTTTCAATTCATATCCTGCTTTTATTGCTTCTTTTTCTGTTAAACCAATACGTGATAATTCTGGATCAATATAAATCGAATAGGGTATATATTTACGTGTTGTCAATGTATTATTATTATTATTATTATTACTATTTGTTGTCTGTTGTTTATTATTTGTTAATAATTGATCACGAATAATTCTATAATCGTCTAATGATATATAGGTAAACTGTGGTCCTCCATTGACATCACCAATAGCCCAAATATTTTTTGTTGTTGTCTCTAATTTTTCATTAACTTGAATAAAATTATTTTTTGTTATTTTTATACCAATTTTATCAAGATTTAATTCATCAATATTTGCATGACGACCAATAGCAACAAGAATAGCATCAGCTTCTTGTGTTTTATTTTCTGTTGATTCACATCTATAAATTATTTTATTTAAATTTATATTTTCTATTTTTACATTCATTATTATATGAATACCTCTTTTCGTTAATGTATCATACACAACTTTTGATATATCTTCATCTTCATGTGATAAAAATATTGATCCTGATTCAAATATTGTTACTTTACTACCAAAATTTGTATAAATTGATGCAAATTCTAATCCAATATATCCACCACCAATAATTATTAATGTTTTCGGTAATGATTTTAATTCCATTAATGTTGTACTTGTATAAATATATTTATTTTGTTTAATATTAGAAATATTTTTAGGAATATTAGGTAATGTACCTGTATTAATAAATATTTTATCACCTTGAATTATTGTTTCATTTATTTGACCATTTTCATCTGTTCTAATTTTAATTTCTGTTGATGATAAAAATGAGGCTATACCATTAAAAATTTTTATTGTTTTATGTACATTTAAATTTTCATAATTTTTAGCTCTTAATTTTGATGTTAAACTATTTTTTTGTTTTATTGAATTTTGATAAAATTGATTTTGTTCCTCGTAATTTTTAAAATGTTGATTTTTTGATTGTTTTGCATAATATTCAAGTGATTTTGATGGAATACACTATACAGATTGATATACTTAAGGATATTCTTCTCTTGCTGCAAAAATCGTAGCGACTGATCGAGGGCGGTTAGCATTTCCATCAAAGTATCTTCTCGAAAAGAAAACCGGCATGTTACTTCCACAAACCTTATAGCTCACTTTTAGGTGTGATTTTCTGAAAAACCAAATTTTTTATTGCGTACCGTACCGATCCTATTCGTCCGATCAAAATTTTACCGCAAGTGAGTATTAAGGTCGTATTCGTAGGTCTAATTGACTGTAAAAGTATTAGGCTTCAATACGACAAGGTGTTCTTAGATCAGCACCTTTTCTTCAAAGTGATGATGGCTGATTTTTGGAAGCTTCAAAATTTTAATGTGGTTCTAAACGAAATTTTCTTATAAATACTTAACGTCACGTCTTAGAGAGCTAAACTGCAAAGTCGTACTGAACCTAGTCGTACTGGAGTATGGTACAATTTTGAGCTCAGACGGATAAAATTTGAATGGGATCGGTTTTGAAAAGTGTGGTGTTCTTGGAAACTACACCTAAAAGCGAGTATTAATATGTACGCACAAAATATTCCTACTTTATTTTTCGAGAAGATACTCTGATGAAAATTCTAGCCCTCCAGCCGATCAGTCGCTATGATCTTGCGACAAGAAGAAGAAGTGAGGGTATTCTTAAAGAGGCAGAGGAAAACGATGAAAATACCGACCGCTATATTAATACAAGTTCCACCATACATATGTTTGGATTTTTCAATCATTGCTACACTTTGAGCTTGTTTAGCTAAAAATACGGCTAAAGTTTTTCCACCTTTCCCAAAACCAACTAGAAAAACGACAGAAATATCTCATGCTATATCATCAATTATTTATTGTTTGTACTTACTAATAATGGCATCAAATCTCTGAACCATTTCTTATTTTAATTTTCAAATAAACCAAGTGAAAAAAGAAAGAAAATTGTACACTTTTCGAAAATATTAGTAACAAAGAATGGAAAAATTGTACGAAAATCTTCATAAGATTGGTTGCTACCTTATAATAAGTTTGTTGAGTTTTCAAGAAACCATGCCTTATTGTTGCTGCATTTACTTTTGTTTTTTTGGAGATTGTTATTATAAGTCGTATGGGGGTAATTCCGACCGCTTGCACAAAGTTTCTTAGTATTTTGCGTATTTCTAAGGCGCTTTTAATCGAATAAGCGTGCTATTGAATATGAAGATAGAAGTAACAGTTCTCTATCCACTGATGTAAAAGTCTCACAAAACTCCTTCTTCCTTTCCGAGCAGCATTCAAAAGGAGACAGGGACCTTCAAACCGGCCGGGGTAAGTACCTAGCACCACGCAAAATACGATATCTAGTTGATTTTACTTATTTAATACTGCAAAACATTATACAGAATATTTAAGTTTGATAATCATTGATTATTGTATTATATGTACGCCAGAGATATCATATTTTGCGTGGTGCTAGGTACTTACCTTAATCACATCTGCACGCCAGTATCCGTTAATAAAAATAAAATTCATTACCACAATGTGTAAAGTTACATCAAAATATTTAAGATTATAGAGCCTACTGACTGTAGAGAACTGTTACTTCTATCTTCCTATTCAACAGCATGCTTATCCGATGAAAAACGTCTTAGAAATACGCAAAATACTAAGAAACTTTGTGCCAGCGGCCAGAGTTACCCAATACGACTCTGGATATTTCAGAATCTAGTTACGTTTGTTTTCGTCAATCACAATCTCAAATTATAGTATTAAGCATTAACACTCTTACAGCA